AAGTATTGAAGTGAACAACAGAAAAGGTTATTTTTGATATATCTGTGTATCATTGATATCTGTCATCTGATATCAATATATTATTGATAAGCTATGCACAGAATCAATGACAGCTCAAGGCCGTCTGGTTAGCTCAATAGGTAGTTTGTTTGTTTGTTTCATTTTACACCTTTTCCCAACAGTATTTCAGTCATATAGGCAGGTAGTTTCCTAACCATCGTTCCTGGAGAGTTACACCAGTACTGGACTACCTTCCTCCGCGCTAAACTACCAAAGCATCTTCCGGGGATCAAACCCACACCAGAGAGGTAACTGGATTAGAAGTCATGGACTCTCACCCCTCGACCACGGAGGCAGTTCTCAATAGGTAGAGTGCTGAACTGTGAATCGGGTGACCCGGGTTCGATTCCTGGACGGTGAAGGTCACTTTTGTTTTGATTGATCATGAAATCCTTTCTATGGTCATTCGCACTCTACCTCTGCTCTTGTATGTACCGAAGTAATCAGTTCCATGCAAAAGTGAACGTCAACTCAGTACTGGTAAACTGCTTGGCAGCCTGCCCAGGAACGAAGCAGTGGCTGAACTGTGCTCTGGTAAATTCAATGTGGCTTTCTGATCCAGAGTGAAAACTTCCAACATTTCCAATGACAGCTCTAGCATGATGTCCAATAAAGTTTAAAGTGAATACCTGTAACAGTTTTTGAGATACAGTAAAATATTTTAAGTCAAACCCTTTCAAATTTACCTGTCTTCTTTTTCTTATGCCGTCTCTTCCTGCCATCTTCATACCTATGACCTAAAACTGTTTTAACTTTGTCAGTTTTCTGAACTTTTTTTGGTATTTCATCAGCAATGCTCTGCAGAAAATCCTCAGGTAATTTTGCGCTTTCTAGATATTCCCGTTTCTTAGCCTGAGTGAAAGAAAATATATAGTTAGTAAAAAAACATCTTGAAAAGTAACAACTGTATGTTCCATCTTGATTGACAGGATTGAAGATTGATAAAGGTACACAAATCTTTCATTTCCTTTTTAAAAAGTTCTCTTCAATTTAGATTTGATCATACATAAATGCCATCTAATAGTTCCTCATTATATACATGCTTAAAGCTTTAATTCATTTTTTTGTGTAAAACAACTTTCTAGTTTTAATTCCAAAACAGTCAACTAGATGTTCCTTGGATTGCAATATCAAAAAATAAAATTTGAGTTGCCAAGGTCTAAAATAAAATCAAACTAAACATGGAAGTAGAGACTGTCAATGAGAATCACATCTTAATTTCATTTTGGTTTTATGATTTTGTAAACTGTATACTAAACTAACAGAACTGATGCTTTTGAAGCTTAAACTTTCAAATTTTTCTTTTACCTACCTACCTAAACAGTCATGTGTGGGTAAGCAAGGGAGGAAACAAAGATATTTTTAGGCTGGCCCAACTGTATAGGAATGCAAAGACATGCAGCCTGGCCTTAAAAAGGCCAGTCATTCTTATTGAGCACTGCCAGCATTCAGAAAGTAAATTTCAACTCATTTCAATAAGATTTTTTGTCTTTCTATTTTGAACACAAAAAAATGCATATAAATGAAACTCAAGCTTTCAAGACAAAGTTGAAGCAATCTTCAAAGTGATTCTTTGCATAGCCTGACAAATCATTTATATCACTGTAATAGTGATAACCCCTAACAAATTCAATGTCAGTATATATATAAGGACTAGTCTCAATATTTTGACTCCAAGACCCACAGATTTTACAAAATGATATCATTTAGATCATTAGATGTCAGATTTCACCATCGACAAAAAGGGCGACCATCGTTCACATAATAAAAACGCTTTAGTGCACAATTTGTTGGGCTAATATAAGGACATTATATAAGTACCTTCTGTTCTTTAAACTGAGCATCAAGCATTTTTCTCTTGCTTTTCTTCTTTTGTTTCTCTGCATCTACTTGTCTCATGGCAGATCGAAGTTGTGTCAGTACCGACTGTCGGCTGTCATGGAAACCAATGTCTTCCGGTCCTTCGTCATCACTATCTGTTTCTGGTTTTTCTTGTACATCTTCAGGGTCAGAATCCTCGCTTCCTAATGTACGAAAACATTAATCTCTGATGATAATAAGAAGATACTTCTTTGAACATAATATCACAAAAGCAGTCTAACTAGTAATACAGGGACACAATAATCACATTCAACACAAACACTTGGAGTGTGGACCCCTGCCCTTCCTTGCCCCTGAATATCAAAAATTAAAACCATCATTTTTTGCAATTACTTGTTTTAATTTGTTTCAAATATTTGTATGACATGGTCTACTGTCTAGCATGTAAACAAGTTAAGACTGACTTTCATTACGTCACGAATCTTAATATAAATATGTGATTACGTTTTAAAAAAAAAGGTCATATTTTCAGTAAATTTTACCAACGCTTCAATTTCATGAAGATACAAATGTCATGTACCAAGCTATTAAATGTAAACAAAACAGACCTTCATAAATTTCAAGTTTTTATTTTATCGCATGACATTTCATTCATATATAACACGTTACCGTATAAGTACTTATTTCTGCGGGCTTAAAATTCTGCTATTTTGGTTAAAATAAGGGGTTTTAAATTTCTGCGTATCTTATTTCTGCGGTGTCATCATTCTCGCATTGATGTTTTTTATTTCTGCGTTTTAATTTAGATATTTTTACAAATTAACCGATACAAACAAACAACATTTCAAGATATGTTGATGTAACATGTACATTACTTCCGGTAAACATGCAGACCATGTATCGGTATATAAAATATGATAAACAAGATCAACAAAGAAAGGCGGCGTTCAAGGAACGCAATAAAGAAAACGTTAAGAAACAAAAATCAACAACGTGCAATGACAACAATTAACTGTAATACTGCATGTGTATAAATATGAAGTGTGAAAAATAAACAATGGTAATATCGCACGTAGACACAATATATTGTACAAATACAAAAGGGTATGTTTTTTGCACCCGTCAAATTATAATTATTATTTTTATAGTTTTATTTTTAAAATAAATCAAGCTTAGGGTGAGTGCAAATCATACAAACATGATATTTTTTTAAACAAAAAGAACAAGTAAAGTTACTTTTTTTCTAATATTTTATTCATGACGGATACATAAAGAAAAATTATTCCCATCTACAAAAGCTGATAACGGTACATGGTAATGTAATTATACAATACAGGTAGTTGATATATTCCGACATACATGTAGACATAGCGAAAGGCTTAATTTTCTGCGGTTTTTAAATCTGCGGTGTCGTTATAAACCGCAGAAATAGCAGAAATAAAGTTCCCGCAGAAAAAAGTACTTATACGGTATCACCTTCTGTCACACATGCCAAATCCATATATTCCAAAATTTAAAAATAGAGAAAACAGAATGACTTTTTGTTATATTGGTAAAACAAATTTTTTTTCCTTCTATTTTTAAATTTCTTAATACATGGATATTATATAACATGAATAATAAGATTAAAGTTAAAACATATCTTAGGTCAAATCAATGGCAACCAGCACCTCTGACTTGTGCGCATGGCCTATATTTTCACCATAATCAAAATAAAATGTATCATGATTTTTTCTCTGTTTGCAAGAAGATTTTTACATTAAGATTTAAGTGTTAAAATATCCATTTTATTTGAATTATGCTGAGTGTTGAGCAACTGCGATATTCACATGGTTATTAAATTAGCTGGATGAAATTATTCCAGATGTGATGAGGAAATGCAAATGTTTTATTCGGCATGAAATGAAAAGCATACAGTATCTATTTCTCTTTTTGAAATTATGATAATTTATAGCACCAAAGTCTAGGTCCCCAAAAAGGATTTGACTCAATGGAAGATAGATAGAACTTTTTTTAATGTTGTCAAAATATCGGAAAACAAGATACATGTCCAGTTTGTAATAATCAGACTGGTGACAAAATGGCGATCAGGCTTATGACAAAAAAAATCATATTTCTAGAAAAATAATAAAGATATTTCCTTTAAACTTTGCTTGTTTATTAAACAGAACTTTTGTTAGTCCTATAACTCAAGACGTTTCTGTTAGTACTACCTAGCAAGTTGGAGTGAACATAGTTCTAACGGAAACGTCTTATGTTATAGCGAGCTTGACGAGCTGGCCCGAAGGGCCTGCTCGCATAGCGAGCTTTGCCGTAACGCGAGTACCTGAGTGATGGTTTTGAAAACTTTCGTCCAAAGTACCGATTTGACACATAGCAACTTTTCGAATAAAAAGATAACGATAAAAGCCGATGTACTCTGATTGAAAACGGAAGTGTAGACTGGTGTCCTACGCACTTATATAGGAACCATAATAAAAGGGGGAAACCAGAATAAAGGGAAGCAGTGTATAAAAAACCGAATGACAATTTTAAAACGAAAAATGTAAAATAAAAATGAACGGTTATTTTTTAAAAACTATTTAATGGTAAAAGAAAATCGAGCTCGATTTGAGGCTTTGCCTTTTTCATATTAGGACTAAACTTTTGTGAGAATGATTTCCACTTTTTCATGTTTTAACAACACATAATTATCTGATTATGTATTGAAGTCCTAAATTTTTGTTACATATGCAAAGTATCAAACAAAACTTTAATAACTTCTTTATTCTCTTATTCATTGCGCTCCTGTCAGCATTCATTTCATTCCTTTCAGAGATATCTTCAAAGTAGTATACAATGTATAATGTCCAGCTGATAATAAGCAAACATATTTTTACCAAAGTCCTGATCATGTTCTGGTTTTGAATCTTCTGGCTCGTCTTCATTCATGTGAGAAAATGCCTCTGTCTCGAATCTGTCTCCCTGCTCTTCATCCTCATGCCTGTAATACCGTCTTCTCTGTGGCATATTTACACAAACTTGACAGCTAACACACGTGCTTGTTGATTTGAGCACAATTTTAACTGGTAGAAATTTACCTTCGCACCAAAATTTCGGAATACTCGGATTTTTTCATTGTAGCAAAACGGTAAAGCCCGATTTGCGTCGTTCCGAATAAAAAATTCGTAACAACAAGCACAAACTGGATAGTATCTGTGAAAAAATTAGAATTCATAGAGAAATTATAGTGTATCAATGTGAAAAATAGGTTGGTATTGAAGCACAATATTTTTCTTCTTTTGTTCTGTAACATGATGGAGCAGAGAGATGTTATGGCAATTAAAAACTTTAAAAAAAGGTAGTCGCAATAACGGAACCGGTCTCATGGCCAAATAATCCTGTTTCAAAACATCCTAGTCACAAATAAGAATATCTTTCATGACATGTTAGTTTTGTTTACTTATTCAAATGTAAGAAGTCTATTTAAATGAGAGAATATAATATGAAAAAGGCAAAGCCTCAAAGCGAGCTCGATGTACTTTTTACGTGAAATAGTATGAAACAATCTCAAATGCAGTGACGAGACGGAGTGCGTGTGACGTCACACGTACTGTGTTAAATATGACCCCGTCCCTGTCGTGAAATGAATAACGAGTTTTGAAAACGTTGATAAAACTTTGTTTGTTTTATTTCACTCTATAATTTTTCAAGCGAAATAAAGTTTATTTTAAATGAAATAAATGTAAAACTTTAAACGTTTGCGACATTAAAATAGCGTACTTGATTTGTTTGTTTTGCATGTGCTGTTTGGCGCTACATTGTGACGTCACGTAAACAATACTTTAAACGTCTGTACAGCGTTAACGACTGAATAAAAGATATTGGTGTTCGGATTCATTTTCTTAGTTAGACCATTTTCTTTCATTCTAGATAATTTTTACAAGAAAATTCGACAAAAAATTGTTTTTATTTATCAGATTTCAAACAAAATGGCGCTTTCGATTTTCATTTTTTATACACAGCTTCCGTTATTCTGGTTCCCTGTCCAATTATGGTTCCCATAGACGTGCGCAGGTGACCAGTCTACACATCCGTTTTCAGTCAGAATTCCTCAGTTTTTACCGTTATCTTTAAATTCGAAAGGTTGCGATGTGTCCAATTTGGTACTTTGGACGAAAGTTTTCAAAACCATCACTTAGCAGGTACTCGTGTTACCGTAAAGCTCGCTTTGCGAGCAGGCCCTTCGGGCCAGCTCGTCGAGCTCGCTATTAAACTGAAAAATAAAGGACTAGAGTTTACTTTGATAAATTAACACACATCTTGAAAATTTTAAGGAGGTTGACTTTGGCAATACTGCGATTCCGCGATAATTTGCTAAGAAATTGACAAAATCGCACTGCTTTCAAATGTGAAAAAATATCGGATATTAATGGGAAGTCAAAGGCCAGGACCACGAAGCTTTTGCTTGCTCGGCTATAAACTACATGTACGTCATATATATTTAAAAGAAAATCAAATAATTTTTTTAAGACGATTATATAGAATTCTAACTATACCTGTTAATGAAATTTTTTAGTGTCAGCAATTTTCAATGTAACTCAATGATAATAGGCGGGGTATTCCGATAATGGAACAATCACAACTTTTCGGATTAACAATTATCGTAGGAAGCGGTGCATGAAATACTGAATGACAACTTTAAAACGGAAAAATGAACAAATTTTCCTTACCAACTTCCCCGTTACTCCAGCAACTGGGCAATTTGAGTGACTAACTTAGTCATCTTAAGTTTCTGATATTCGCCGAGTTTGAATATCAAAGAGAAATCGACTTCGTCACATATTTTAACTTACTTCATGTACAGATCTTTTTGTATCACAAGGCTCTTGTCAATAACTTAAATCCTCGCCTCTGGGCGTAACAAAGAACTAAATTGGTAATGACACAGTTATACTGCTGATAATTGGCTACAATTAACACTTTTATGTGACATTATAATGCAGCTCCATTGGATAAAGTGCCTCTGCAATTCGCCGATGTAAACATTGCAATTAATTGAGCATAATTTATGAGACTCTTGCCATGTTGAAAAAATTTACACCCAGAATCGGTCTTACACTAATTAACAGTACATACATTTATAAATTGAAATACAGATTTAATGGTCAGTAACTTCACTTAAACTGGATCATGTGAACACCTTTTAAAGTGTGACAAAAGTACATGTAATTAATCTGTTTTAGCAATAGAAATTATCTTATAATTTGCTTCAAATAGTGACCATTTGATGAGAATAACCTCCGAGGGTGGATAATTAAATAAATTTTACTTTTAAGAAACAGTTTTAATTTAGAGAAATGGTAAGTAATATTAAATGACTCAAATCAAAATTTGCTCTAATAAAGTTATTTAATATTATAAGTATTTTTTTTTTTTCCCCATATATTGAATGTTGAGAAAAATCTCAATGATTTACAAAAAATCCCATTTTTTTTTTTTTGACTTGCATATTGATTTCAGTCTAGGATTATCCCTGTAAAGCTGTATTGTATTGCAGAGTTTATATCAGAAATGTAGCTTAAATGTGCCGCAGTCTGCCTCGTCACGACAAAACCAACGTAATGGGTTTGCGACCAGCATGGATCCAGACCAGCCTGCGCATCCGCGCATTCTGATCAGGATCCATGCTGTTCGCTTACAAACCTATAACAAATAGAGAAACTGATAGCGAACAGCATGGATCCTGATCAGACTGCGCGGATGCTCAGGCTGGTCTGGATCCATGCTGGTCGCAAACCCATTGTGCTGGATTTGTCATGGCGCGGCTTAAATGTGTCTCAAGCTAATCATTCAAAGTTGTGCTTGTTCTTAACATTTAAATGCTGTTCACAAAGAACATTTTTGTGGGTTCTTAAATTTGTGGACTGTTTATTTTTCCAAAAGGTAAAATGTAAATACATGTAATTCAAAATAATCTTACAGCGACCTAAATAAAATTTCGTTGGATCTTTTATTTGTGGATAGACATATTCACGAAAACCATGAAAATTAGTTCCCCTCAAATAATAATGATCTTGCTGTATGATGATGCATGATATTTTAGCTTGATTGAAGTTGAAATTAGAACCCTGTAAATTCAATTTTATTGCAAGTTAATTTCTCAATTTTAAAATTCATTAGAAGGTCACTCTTAGAAATTTGCTAGTAGGAAAAATTTAGTCACTTAACCTAAAGTCTAACTGTAGCATACCAAAGTCATCTTATAATTCACAGTATACATGTATCTAATGGTACATGTACTATTCAAAGTGAAGGTCTAACATTTTTGCTTTCTTTTTTATATGAAGAAGTGCAAACCATTTGTCATAAAATTATTTATACGATAAATGATGTAAATGATTGAAAAAAGAAAACTGTAAACAATTGTTATAAAGCAATACATAAGTCCTGACATGTGAAAAGATTACTACAAGCAGCGTCAGTCAATATGTAATGCAATATGAAGTATATTTTCTAATTTAGCTTGTTGTACATTAAATGTATTTAAACAGAATGTTTTGAAAAAGTTACTTATATTACAGGCCGTTTCTTAGTGTGGCTCAAGGTCAGAATATCAGACTCATTCCCAACATTAATTTGGCAAATATACTTATTTTTTCCCAATCTTTTAAAAAAAAAATCCCAGTCTTAACTGAAATTCCCAATATCCAAACTAAAAAATTTGCTGATGTTCATTCGGTACCTAACAAACAGAATTTGATCTTTAAATATTATTGTTCATGATTATGCTTTGATTGATATTTGTGTTGGTTAGAATAACCATTGTCGCGCAATTCAGATATTGTGTCCAGAGCCTGAAAGGAGGGTTTCAAGATAAGTAGTACTAAATATTTTCCCCAATTATTTTGAATTAAGCAATTTTACGATACAAAATTTCCCAAACTGGGCTAGGGTACTTTTTCCCAAAAGAGCTAGGAAAAGGCCTGTGTTTAGACAGACCTACTTTGACAGTGATTTCCCAGCTTATATAACAGACTCCCATACAGACTCCCATAAAAGACCTCTTCCCAATTGAAATTTTCTTTAAAATCATTTAGTTTTCCCAAAATTCTGAATTTAAACCTGCTTTTTTACTTCCCAAATTAGCAATTTTAGTGATAATTTTTCCCAAAATCAAGTGGCTAAGGCCTCTTGAAAAATCACTGTTTGAGAAAGTTGAATGTTTTTGACTGCTATAATACAGTTTATTTTAACAGGTTGTCCTTGCAATTGCATATTTATTTTCATATGATTTGAAATGAAGCAAGCACCCAATATTATCAGGAATCTCTGTATTTAAAATTTTAAATTACATTTAAAATTTGTTTCGTTTCATTATTACTTTCATAGCTATCAGTTTTGTCACAGTAAAAACCTGGCCGAGTGTGTGACTTTATGATAGTGGTTTTTTTTTGTTTTTTACAAATGGGATGTTTTTATTTTCATAAGTAGCTGTTTATACAAATTTTGACAAGTACAAGAAGGTTTAGTTAGTTTCGTTGAAATAAACGATTTGTTTCAATATTTACTTACATATTTATAACTTTTTTTAGCAAAATATATACATGTACATTTGTACCTCTTACCCTTGTTAGATTTATGTAGGTTTCACCTTGTATTGTAATATTATTATTAAATTGAGGTATACATTGCTTTAAGTGACAATTTAGGGCTGAATTTGGGGCTCATTCCCTTTTACCGAAAAGGTATATTATACTATATATACTGTTTTTTCCTCCTATTTCTTCACAAAAAGTAAAAACAAATTGTAAGTTTTCTATATAATTATATCTCCCCCCCCCCTCCCCCTATAAATATTTTAGCTCCACTTTATTACAATAGTGAGATAGAGAATGATGCATCAAAATTTGACATAAAACGGAATTCAATGATTTAGTGGTTATTATTTCAGATGATTCTTTTTGTTTCTTTGGAAATTTGAAAGCTTTTCAATCTTAAATTTTTTTTTAATAAGAAGTATCAAGTAACTGTAAATGTCGCCGGAGTCTATTAAACACCTAAAGTAAACTTGCATCTTCATATCTATCAAATGTTTCCTCATTGTGAATACATGTATATAAATGCGATATTATTTTAATGTTTAATAAAACTTTGAAACTTTGGAAATAGACTTTAAACAGATGCTAGGTATTTACAATTTTATTAGCTCGACTTTTCTATGAAAAGGGGAGCTATCCTACTCGCCCCGGCGTCGGCGTCGGCGTCACACCTTGGTTAAGTTTTTCGTACCACCCCACTTTATTTCAGAAGTATTACAAGTATGGCTTTGAAACTTACCATACTTGTTCACCATCATAACCTCCATCTACAGACAAGAGTACATAACTCTGTCAAGGTTTTTGACAGAATTATGGCCCTTTTTTGACTTAGAAAGTGTATTGAGCTTGGTTAAGTTTTTTGTACCACCTCACTTTATTTCAAAACCATTGGAGGTATTGCTTTGAAACTGACCATACTTGTTTACCATCACGACCTTCATCAACAGACAAGAGGACATAACTCTGTCAAGGTTTTTGACAGAATTATGCCCCTTTTTGACTTAGAAAATACATTGAATATGGGTAAAATCCACTTATTGCCTTAACCCTTTGAGATATTGCTTTGAAACTTTTAATGCTATTTCACATCATTACCCCCATCTGTACGCAAGAGAAGGTAACTCTGTCAAGGATTTGTTTTAAAAATTAAGGCCTTTTATCGACTTAGAATCTTGGTTAAGTTTTTAGTACCAGTCCACTTTTTGACTGAACTGTTTGAGATATTAATTTGAAAGTTGGAATACTTGTTTACAATCATGATTCCCAAACATGTCCAGGAGAAGGTAATTCTGTCAAAGATTTTATTTGAATTATGGCCCTTAACTGTCAATGTTTTGTATTATAGGCAAGCACTAAAAAACTTAAAAAATCTAAAAAAATTCATTCCTATCCACTTGTTCACTTTACCATAAATTATGTCATATAAACATTGCTGTAATATTCAAGGGTATCAAACAACTAGTTCACTTTAAAAATACAGAGATTCTTGTATTGCCTTTTACTGCAAAAACTTTTTTTATTGGCAAGCAATAAAAAAGTCGAGCGCGCTGTCTTACGGACAGCTCTTGTTTGAAATCCATACAATTTTACATAGAAAAAACTATATTACCGAACCCTATCTGGCATGGGTGGCAGAAGGGGAAACAAAGATAATTATTAAGGTAGGTCCCATTGTATATGAAGGATAGTCTGTACATAATCCCCACTCTGTACTGCATAGATGCCTGTTCAAATTAATTTTGTTTTATTTTGAAAAATCCATAATGTTAATATTATTAAATGGACATTTGCCAATTCATTAAGTTAGTATACAAACTTATAGAGATAAGTGTTAAAATTCCTGACTGGTGGGTATCTTGACCCATACATACTGATAAATCTAATTTTAAAGTGACATATTTATTTATGCTTGTTTTTCCATTGTCAAGCTGAATTAACTGTATATTTCAGAAGATTTACAGTTATAATGGTGATTGACCAACAGTTGATATAGGACATTATAAATGTTTAGGATAAAATATAAGATTTGCCTAAAATATAAAAAGACTGCCCCACTATCTTTTCATTTAGAACATTACAATTAAATTTCAATGGGTATTAACAGAAATTTTCTTGAGCCATGTGAGTAATTTATCAATTCATGCAAAATAAATTATAAAATTAAATGGATATAAATCATATGGCAAAATGTAAACTTATATTTACTTTTACTTGTTCAATCACTATATACCCTTGGATGGCCATAATGTCACTTTAACCTCCTCCTTATGTTTCACCGGTCATAATGTGTAAAGGGGTTAAAGGTCAAACATAATGTCATATAGCACTACAATAGTAATGTCAGAATTTATTGTAAACCAGTATCATTTTATCTTTTCAGTATACGATCTACAATGTAATGTGTTCATCGATATGTCAACAAATCCTGCACAACAATAAACCTCCATATAACCGACATAAAGATGGTAACAATATACAGAACTGAAGGAATTTACGTATAAAGTCTTTTTTTCTTGACCTGACTGAACACGAATAGTACAGTTATAAAGGGATCGGATACAGTATACTAAATATGTCAAACTCTAGTGGAAATTGTAAAATAACGAGAAACTTAGACTAAGTTCGATCCGTGGGTTGTCAAATATCATGTCTCGTTTATGTAAATTTATGGCATAATTGGTAGAAGAGTGTAGCATTTTAGTTTGAACACATGTTGAAGAGGATTACGCTAAAGTCTGGCGTATGATAAGAAATGGATTGATTTATTACGGAGAGCAAAATTCAAGTGTCGCCCTGTTTGTAAAGCACTACTATTCTTCAATATAAAGTTGTAGGCAGAATTATTTTATGAAGACGATCTCTCGAACAGATTTGAATAAAAGTGGATATTTCACTGTGAAACAGTTAACTTTTATCAGCCACTGTTTGAATAAAGTTCTCGATATTTGCTAGGTAATTGAAGTAAAATAGGCAAATAAAGACCTGTTTGATTTCAAAGTGTATTGAAAAATTGCATTGCGTCAGTGTTGTGGTTTTTGTCAGTAGTCTGTGAAATGCAGTTTTATAGTAGAGTGATAGGTTTGAATAAAAAGTGAAAAGGGGAGATAGATAAAGGAAAACATGTCGACAAGGGCAGTAATTCCGCCTTTAAGTGTGGATCATGTACCACAGAAGCAGACTTATGAGATGTTGGAGTCTCGACTTCAAGCCGCGGAAAATGACACTCATCAACTCATCGAACATTTAGGGAGTATGGGGTTCGACACTCAAGTCGGAGGCAAGAGTGGGTCATACGAGACAGTGTCGCCATTCAGAGGCCAGGTGAACCAGGTCAATCAGAAAAACTTTGAAATTTTTAAGAATAACTACGAAACGTTGGTGTCACGAGTGTGTAAAAATGAAAGTGTTCTACAAAGCTTGAAGCTAAATCTAGTGAACCTTCATGGAGATCGGAATTTTAAGCAGAAAAATGACAGTGAGCTGAGAGAGAAGTTTCAATTCGCGAGAGAAGCGTATGAACAGGAAATAGGTGAGATACTTGTTTATAACATATGTGTAACCTTTCTATGAAGCTTTGATTAGGATTAGATAACTGATATTCATTTTGTTTTCATTTTAGTGACAGTTCTCTCCATAAGCCTGATCAGTGGCAACGTAGCTGGCTACTGCAGAATTTATTGCCATCTAATTTTATGACACCATGTACAGTTCATTATTGAAATGCTTTTAAATCACTTATAAAGGCTTATAAAGGCTTTATAAGGCTTTACTTGTGGCAAAGAACATGTA